CTCCTTGGGAGGTGGTGGCAACTTGTAGGTTGGTGCATGTGGAGGGTAGTATGGCTCCTTTGGAGGTGGTGGTGACTTGTAAACGGGAGTTGGTGGAGGTGGCGACTTGTAGGTTAGTGTGTGTGGAGGATAGTATGGCTCCTTGGGAGGTGGTGGCGACCTGTAAACTGGAGTTGGTAGAAGTGGTGACTTGTAGACAGGGGTGTGTGGAGGGTAGTATGGCTCTTTGGGTGGTGGCGGCGACTTGTAAATAGGTGTCGAGGGTGGTGGCGGCTTGTACACTGGAGTGTGTGGAGGGTAGTATGGCTCTTTTGGTGGTGGTGGAGAATTGTAAACTGGTGTGGGATGATATGGTGTTGGTGAAGGGTGGTATGGCTCCTTTGGTGGTGGGGGAGATGAGTATTGATAATTAGCTGAAATTTCAGATGCTAAGCTAAGTGACACTAAAACCACTAAAAGGGTGGCAACTAGAAAGGCCATTTTCCCCATATTCGAAACAAAGGAGAAAGTTGTTGTCATCTTAAGCTTCACTCAAACCCCTTTATATAGTTTTCATTTAGACAGATACCCTTACCAAAATTTATACAAATGTAGGTAAAATCCTAGAGTTATGCATTTTCATTTGGTTTTGTCTTGTTAGTTGTATATTTAATTTGATGGATAGAGGCATTAAGCTAAGCAAATGAATAAACTATTAAGGCAGCTATACTGTTTGTGATGCAATAATTCAAAGAGATAGAAAGTCTTCTCATTCTTCTTCTCACCAAAAATAATGCGTGGAGGCCTCAACTTTGCACTATTTTAGCTATATAAATTAATGCACTTTTTAGGTACAAAGAAAAATATTATCTCACATAAACAAGTTTTTTACTTACTTTTTTAGTGTTTGACAAAATAAGTAGAAATAATATTGCACATTCATACGTAAGCTAACAAAACGTTACGAGAAGCTTGTAATATTCACCAACAACATTAATATCATTCATTTGAGCATTGTTTATTTGCGAACAATATATTTGACGAGATAGTCTAACCAATTGAACACATCACATGAAGCAACGTTTAATTTTAATGAGTCTAATATATATGCCTTGTTGGTGAGAAAATATGTATACATTTAAATCAGTAATTATAGATAAATTTAGTTTAGTAATATTAATTGATATGTAAAATAATGCAAATGGACTTTATAGTTAATGCAATCAAATGTAGTTGGTTTGTGAAAAGATTAAAAGAAAAGGACCGGAGTGACAAAATCAAAACTTAGGATCGTTAATTAGTATTAATAATAATAATACTAATTCTGAGATAAAATATTCAATTATTTATCGTTTGATTGAAACTTTTGTTCCTAAATATAAGTAATTTTGAAATTAATTATATTATAATTCTCTAATTGTACCAAAGTTGTATATGGAATAGCAATTCTCTAGATTAATAATTAGCTAATTCCATGATAAAACAACCAAACTAAAAGTTCTTTAAGAAAGGTAAAATTAAAAATAAAATTTGTCTGAAAATACAAAATCAACTAATCAAATTAAAATTTCTATATATATTATATACCGTATATATCTTATTTCCAATTCAATCAACACCAACTGTAGTCATGATAAAATAATTTAATATGCTCTACAAACATTAATTATTATTTCAATTTTTATAGTATAATTCACTCATTATAATCAATCAAATTGACCCCTAAAGGAATTGGAAAGTTAAATATTTAGGTCCCCATACTAAAGATTAATATAAGTAATAATTTAAGGAATCCTATAGTGTAATTCAATAATTTCATTTTGTTCCGATAAATTTAGTATTTACAAAAAATCTCTTAAATTTGTTGAGCCGTGATACTTTAGACTCTCGTGATACAAGGTAAATGATACATGGTAATTTTAAACTGTTGAGAAAAAAAAGGGGAAAAACGGTACAGTTAATGTTGTTAATAAAACAGCTAAATTTACGGTAACATATCATTAATCAGCATAAAATCAGCACTTAATTAGATATTAATTTCAAATTTTGAAAAACAAAGATTATGTCATCTATTTTGAAAACAATTTTTTTGAACAATCTGTTAAATTTCAAACTACAATAATTTTATTGTTGTTACAGTGGATTTTTCAAGATGAATACTTCGATTTTGATGAGACATTCCGGAATTTAGGTGAACGAATTGCAGTATGAAAGTTACAAAATCGACGGAATCGTTGTTGGAGATTCAATTTCGTATCTAATG